CTTTTATGCATAATTTTTTGGAAATAATAGGTGAAACTTTAAGGATAATACAAAAGAATAATAGGCACAACAGAGAGAATACAAGAATAGAATAATAGGGAATTTTAAAAGCATAATTGGGCAAGGCCTATTTATATGAAATACACCTACTTAATCATTTTCGTAAATCACACAATTAAATTTCACAATCTTAAAGGGACACATGCACGGAAGCACGTCATCTTGAAAAACTGGCCCGTTTTTCAAGATGACATCATTAATGATGACGTTTAGTGTTGATAACTATTCATAACGTGCGGCCGCGCCCCTAATAATTAAGGCAAAATGGCTACTCGAGTGGCTACTTGTAAATATTCCTGGTGTTTCTTCACTAAAAAGAGTATCTTGGGGTGGCAAAAGAGTTGATTCTGTTCGAGAGAAGTGTTCTACAGATGCCTACTCCTGGCTCTGCGACTGATTGCTGTCTCTACTCTCTACGCGTGTCTAAACACGTGTCATAACTATTAATTAATGATCTGTTGCACGCCCAATTTATTGTTTACTTCCTCTACAGTAACGTGTGCATTCTATTTCCGTGAATGTGTCCCTTTAACGTACCTTTGCTACTAAATTAGAATCTTCATCTTCTGTACTCTCCTGGGAAAAGTCTAGACTAGGAAAAGTCAGGGTGAATATAGATCTAGTAAGTACTGACTGCTAGAGTGGGGCGAGCTCAGGCTCGCCCCGAATGAGTAGAATGATTAGACTGAAGATTGTATATACAAACTCGCTGCAAACAACACAGTGATTGCTAGAGGAAAATATAAGGAAAAGACTTTGAATAATCATAGTTAGGTGTATGAACTCAGTACTATGGAAGGACTAATTGATCTGTTTTTTGTGCAGTGAAGGAAAGATTATACAACTGCAGGAACAATAGCATTAGCGGAGGAAAGTATGAGGAAAGGAGATTACACAAATATTGCATGCATGCATCACTCTCCTGGGTCATTGCTATAAAAAGAGGGCAACTTCCACTCAGCAGTCAAGTCATTTCAACTGCAGTGATAATAGTAATAATAATAATCTATCAACAAGATTTTATTAACTATCAACTGTAGCAATGACTACTATGATTGTTTCTGTTGGAATATTCCTCACTTTGTTGGCTGTAGCATTTGCCCGAGCCCGTCCACTGCTGGCTGATGAATTTGATGAAAATGATGACTTCATACTCCAGCTAGCTGCTAATGGGGAAGCTACTCATCCATCTCAAGATGCTGATATCCCTCAAGTCATTGATGCACTCAACAAAACCTCCTCAAACTGGTAAGATAGTACAGTACATCTACAGCTATTTGAAATAACATTATTATTATTTCATAATAGGGCAAGAACTGGTACTCAAGGATGCACCTCTTCTAACAGGCTC